AGGGAATAGTGTGGAAAGGGGGATACAGGGCTGAGGTGGCCCCTGCAACTCCTTGTGGGTGCCCCACCACACAACTGGGCCATAGTTTTCCTGGGCAGAGGATGACAGGGGGAGGGAAACCTTGAAGGCAGGAGGGTAGAGTGGGTACTGGGTGGAATGGAGAGAAGGAAGCAGGAAAAGGGGACAGGCTGTGGGGGCTTTCATGAAAGGAAAAGTGGAAGTGGGGGGGGGGCAAGGGAAAATGAGATGCTCCACTGCAAGTCCTTGAAGGTCCCTGGCTTGTAATTTTTAACAGCATTACCACTTTTGAAAAATTCCCATCGTAGCCACAGCTTCTGCATTAAATACAAGGGAATCCTGAATACAGGAATCCTATATTTTATCCAAATTAACCCATTACTTCTACTAAAAATATTAAATGCTGGGGCGTGAAATGGAATGCATCTTTATTGAATTCTTTATTTAGAATGTCACTTCACAGTTTTATTACATTTTTAGTTCCTCCACAGAGCTTTCCCCCCTAATCTTTTTAAATAAAGATAAGCAATCTTATTGGGACCCAAACTTCAAATTGCTTCATAAAAGTCAGCCATCCATTTTGGATGATAATAGGTTTATTGAGTGCTGATTTTAATATATTTTTACTACACATAGGGAGAGGCAATGGAAATGTTTATTTAACTCAAAAGCAGATAGTCCATCAAACTATAAACTAGTCTGAAACCAATAGCTCCTAAAATGGCTATAGCAAAAAAAAAACCCGATTTCAGCCAAAACCTGGAAGTCTGCTAAAGCAGGGATTACCCAGAAGTTGCTAACAAAAAAGAATAACATAAAATTGACAACGCAAGCATATTTCCACTGGCATTTTAATCACGTTAGACTTACCTTTCAGTAGATAGGTATATAGCATCAGCCTGTATTGCTGCCAGCGTCAACTCTACCCACATTTACTTGGGAACAAACAAGCCCCATTGAATATTACATGGGGCACTTCCAAGAGAGCGTCTTGTTGGCCAGGGCAGCACATTACATTTGTTGCTGTGCTCAAAAGTCTGTATTGAATTAGGAATCTTTTCGGTCGACAAAAATTCAAGATACTATTTAAATAATGAACTATCTCTTGAGCAAAGCAAACTTGGCAGCTAGAAAAATACAAATAAGTCCAAAATACTAGGTTGGAATCGGGCAGAAACACTGAAGAGCGAAGAATGGCATTTTGCCATTTGAGGCCACGAACTGGGATACAGACCAGCGAAAAGAGACAACCTGAAAGGGGGAAGGGCGGGAGAACAGTTTGGGGTGCGGGCACTCAGCATGTGCCATACGTACATGTGGGAATCACGCAAAAACATTCAGAACGACACCCACGTTCTCCTCCTGGTGGAACGCCGAGCCCCAAGTTAACAACCGCTGGATGCACCAGACACAGACGCAAAGCATGGCCGAAGAAAAGGCGATCCCGCACATTAGTTTAGTTACCTGGCCCCAGGCATCGTTCTTTGGACTCCACGAAAATAGCACTCTAAATTTTTAGGCCTCTACCGACTCTCGGTCTCCATAGGAACGATACCGGAGACATGGCGTGAAGCATCATGGGAGACGTAGTTCTTTGGCAACAGCTTGTTCGGTTGGGAGCTTCATACTAACGGCAAAGAGCGCGGACCGCGCCTGTTCTTCGTCCTAGTTTCGAATTGCCAGTGAGGCCCTTATGCACAAACTTAGTATGAGGAAGGATCACCATTACTGGCAACTGCCGCAAAGGGGTTTTGGGTTCTGTTTGCACCAAGGCAGTTAAAATAATCATATCAGGAATTCATTTTACTGGTATCTGATACAGGGGCTTCAGTAGCTTAACTTTTATATATGATGTAGTCTTTAGGTCTTTAAAGTCTTATTTATGAAATGAAAATAAACATAAAAATCACCTTAAAATATTTAGTTAGGACGACTCACATGAATATCTTACTCTTCTGGAGCTGCTTGACAGCTGCTTGGTTCAACTGTATCCTTTTAAAAAACATGATGCTCCTGCCTTGTGTGCTTTACTGTGCTACTATTGTTTTGTGAAATAGTCTACACATTTAATATTTGTGTGTAAATATGTTTCCACAAATGAGAGATTTAAATTAACTAAATACCACTGTAGAATTAAAACTGCTTTCGACTGATCTTGCAGAATAATTTGCTACAGGCTTTCTTTGATATTCTTTATTAGAATGTTTTACAGTCATATAAAAATATCTTATACAAAAATTGCTAAATATCCACAAAGTAAAATACAAATACTCTACAAATAAAAATTATAGAACATTAATTTATATGAAGTAAAAGTACCATTAAAATATCTATTAAGTTCATTAAACAATTTAGCTCTT